ATTCCTGATGGAGAGGTGGTCGTTAGAGGCTGATAGCCCTCGTTACCCCCTGTACAGCTACACCACGTACCATCAGGCTGAAGGTTGGCCTGATCAAAGAATTTTCGCGCAACTAGAAAATTGGCCAAAAAGGGCAAAAAAAACCGTACAATGCAAGCCCGGCTTCATCTGAAGGTATTAAATTCGGTTTATGTATTAAGTCCACTGACCTAAGGTCTAGGATACCCCAAATTTTCCGTGCCATTTTTTATTTTTTGCATTTGACAGAACCTTGTTGGTAAAATTAAAGATGGGCAAATAAAGAGAGTACAGAGTTTTTAAAGACATCTACATACAGCAGCGATGGTTCATTTATTTTTATTTTTGATGTCTATATATGCTCTCTTTGAGACCTTGCAAAGACTAACTATTTCTGGTTGATTCATTTACATTAACATGTAGTGTTGCACCAATACCAATACCAATATCAGGCGGGGCCCCGATCCAGTGCTAAAATGGTGGAATTGGTACCTGTGAGTACCAACCAATAGGGCACCGATACCATTTTGAGAGCCAAATGTTCATTCAACCATTTTCACCCATTTCAGGTAGGCAATAAAAAAGTTCTACTGGATTCACTTTGTTTTAGTCTTTTTCCTGCTTCACAAAGGAAGGCAGCAGCTTGACATGAAGCCATGATGGCAATTATTTTACATCCAAGTAGTCTGCAGTTCTTCATATATACACACACATCAATTTCAAATAGATGGCATCGGTATCTAACCTGACTCCACCAGATGGAGTTGCCTGGAAACCTTCCGTTGAAGTAATTTTGGGAAGGGGCGAAAATACTGGTTAGCTGATTGGCCTATGTTGGTGATAGACGGGCCAAATAAACCAATCAGATCAACGAAGCATATGACGTACTGACAGAGCGACGACGAAGAGGAGCCAATTGATAGATCAAACTCTTGCCGAAACCAGTCGGGAGAAGAGCAAAAACATCTTTTCCTCTGAGAAAAGCCTCCAGAGCAGTGTTTTGCTCTTCTTTCAGTGAAGAAATACTCTGTAATTCCCATAAAACTTGCTCGATAGCCACGCTAACGCTAGTTTCATCGGCTGAAGCCGCCATGTTCTTTAGACTGAACTGTCGCGCTTCTCGTTGCGTCACACCTCAACCCGCCTCAAAGCCAACGCTGATTGGACGTTCGTTTGGTGAACGGCTCCAAATTTTCTTTAACGGAGAGCCTCCAGACTGATCTGCGAGTGAAACCTTGAAAGCTCGCGAGATCAGGATGGTCTCACGAGGCTAATTGGTATCGGCTAATACTGCACAGCCAGATATCGGTAGCGGGGCCCAAAAAAATGGCATTGGCGCAACACTATTAACAATGGATGTTCCTCCCCTTTGGGAGCTTTACTGACAAAGACCCAGCTCTGATCAGCTTCTCAGTCTGACTCAACCTTGATCTGGTGCCGTGGGTTGTTTTTTTTTTTTATTAGATGACATCACACCCCACAAAAACAAGAAAATAAAAAATAGATAAAAGACTCAACCTAGAGTAAAATAAGTCTTTTAGGAGTCTGGTATCTGCTAGGTTTACTCCCTGGGATTAGAAAATAATGCTCTTTGTGGTCAAAAAGCATTGAGGAGGTAAATAATGCATGATTTGACATTTTAAATAGGTTCCCATGTGCTATAGTTAGGTAATATCTTATGTTTCTGTGTCAGGAGCTTGTTGCTATGTACTGTTCCCTGTGGCGCACTATTTAAAGAAGCCACCAGATGGCACTACTACCTGGATTATTGAATATTCACACAACTGGTTTGAGATTTTCTCATTAATCAAGTCTTAAAATTAATGCAAATATCTTGATTTTCCAGTAGAGTAAACAATGAAGTTTCTAAAATATTTTAAAGGACTTTCTCCTAAAATAAAAATAAAAAAAAGTTAAAAATTCAACTGTCTGAATGTGGGGAAGCAAAAAGTGGGACTCACCGTGGATTTGGGAGGAGGGGAGGAAACCTGCAGGAAAAACACCAGAGTGACAACAACAACAAGAGAGTGACTGATTGAAACGGGCAGAGAAAACACAACAACACGCTTTGACCTGAGCCGCTGACGGAAATTTCCTGCAGTTTTCCTTAGTTTTTGTTTTTTTTTCAACATTTACTTTGGTAAGAAAGGGAACAATAATCACATCCGCTGTTTTAAACAGTCTCTAAATTCTTGCAAAAACTACAAAAAATGCAGGAAACTTCAAATGTATTCAAGATGTGACCCATAATTAGGATGTTAGGATGCAAATGGAAGCAAATTCATGGTAAAAAGCAGATAATTTAACTTTGCAGAGTGGGATTTATAATGAGACTCACAAGGCTCCTGAAGAAATGCACCACTGCGTTTTCATTGGTGCGACGGCGAGCGGAGGGTTGCTGGGGTGAGGTAGCCGAGTGACCCCTGAACGAGCCCTGAAAAGGTCAGAACATTTGTTCATAAAAATGCTTTTTTATTATTGAACCAATTAGAGCTTCCTCGTTTCAGGGATGTCAGCTCCCACAATAAAAGATAACTTTCAGAAAGTCCTGTGTTAAAACGGAGCAATTAAAGTCCAGCAAGAGGTGTTCTGTCAGGGGGAAATATGGATTTTTCTTTTCAGTAATTTTTCTTTTCAGTAATTTTTCTTTTGTGCTATGAAAAAAAAGCACAAAAATACCTTTTATTAACAAGCTAATAATCATAAACATGTGTGGTCATCAATTTAAACACTGAATGGTTTGAATATGAAGTTTGTCTTTAGATTTGAGGTAAAAAAAACAGAAGCAGGTCTTTGTGTTTTATATATTTTAAGAAAAATAAATAATAATCAAATACTGGAGCTGAGATTAATTCCTTTTTTGATTTTTTTGATTTTTGTCCTGTCCTGCATCATGGCAGCTGAACAGAAACCTGAGTACCGTTTTCTACTGAACACATTTGCTTTGCCAAGGGAAAACAACCTAGAAATAAGTAAAAATTTCTTAAATTAAGTGTATTTACCCTTAATTTGAGCAGGTAAATGAGATATTTTGCCAATGAAATTAATATTTTTACTCTTAAAATAGGATAATTAGATAATATGCACTTGAAATAAGACAATGCAATTGTGTTTTCTTATTTTAAATGTAAATTGTCTTGTTCCGTTGGCAAAATGTTTCTCTTACCTCCTCAATCCAAGAACAAATTCAGCCATTTTGAAGAAAAAAAAGACTTATCTAGATTTTGTTTTTTTTCCAGTGTTAATTACCCAAAACTACGTTATTTATTCATTTTGTTAATTTACATGTGAACGATAAACCTGACAGAGAGACAGAAGAAAGAAAAGCCATGGAAAGGAAAGACATCCTTTAGACAGAAACAGAAAAAAAAACACAACAAGCTACTGTGTCTAAAAAAAAACAACAGAAAAAAACTATGACGAAGTATTAGGGCCAAGCTTCTATTTCGAGAATAAAGTCGTAATTTTACAACTTTAATCTCAAAATAGAAGAAAAAAATCCTCCAGCCTGGCCCTAATACTCCGTAATAAGGAGCAGTGAAGTTACGCAGCAGCTGTATAGAAGCCTATGGAGCCGCAGCTCCGAGTAACTGACTGTTTTTGTGCGTTTGTGAAAGAATGAGAACCTTCTGCCCTGTTTTCCAGATTGTACTCATTTACGATGCAGAGCTGAGATTAATTCCAGCTTCACATCATATTCTCAGCACTGCATCTTTCAGCAGCTTATCAACGTTTCAAAACTTCACATGAAATTGATTTGCACCGCTGCAGCGAAACGCAGCTTAAAGCAGAACTAAAAACCTGTTGACTGCATCTTTTATTTATACAAAAGAGACGTTTTTTTCCAGCTTTGCAACATAACATGAAACTATGTATAAAAACATAAGAAAAGCACCAATTTAAACCTGATGTTCATGGCAATTAACATCAAACTGAAGTATTTTGGCTAAGAATTGGTCGACGTAGGAAAATAAAAATGATAAACTGCTAATGATTGAAACTGAACTGCTGCAAATTGACCTGAAGTCAACCAAGATCTTTGCACCTATAAGCCTGCTTCTGTTAGAGAGGGAACCCGGATCCAGAACAGCCAGCTGGGCTTAATGAGACCATCTGAACCTGAATGTCCAGAGCGGTACAGAACTGTCAACAACATCTACAGCTTAAATCAAAGTTTAATTAAAGCAAAAGGAAAGAAATCTGTAAAATCCCAGTTGCTCACCTTGCTCCTCTTCTTCTTCTCTCCTCCAAAGAATTTGCTAAGCTGATCCATCAGACCGGGACTCTTCTTCTTCTTGCCAAGCCCAAAGCTGCTCTGGCCCGAGGTGCTGGCTGTAGCCATTATATCTGCTGCTGATGGTTCGGATCCACGGCCCACTCTGCCAACACCCAGCTCTGCTACTCCCTCAGGGTGTGTTCAAGGTCTGACGCTGAAGGGGGGGCCGTCCTTGAAGGTGTCGTCCTCTCGGCCCCCAGCACCATGGGACACGAGACCGTTTAGGTCCGGGGGGGGGGGGACCCTGGTTCTGGCTCTGATCCAGGCATTCTTTGAAGCTTCAGAAGCTGTGTCAGTCGCTGCCGCCCTCCACACGGGCACGGCCATTGTTCCTCACCCCATCTGCCTCACCCCGGCCGCAGGGGAACAACAAGGGTCATCTCTGAGCCTGAACTCACGGCCCGATGCAAAGCGTCACCGAGCACTGAGAGGCCATTGTTGGACCGCCCTCATACATCTTTTTAATGAATCGTGGCTGAATTAGATGTAAAGCCACCCAGATGAAGGCATGGGCTGGAAGACGTCCGCGTAAAAGAACCTGTGAAAACAGACCGAGTGTCTGCAACGCTTTCAGGGTTGACTATGGTGACTCTGCCAGTTTCTGCTTTAGACCCAACCTGTATTCAACCGATGTCTGGTCCGATTAGTAGTTAGAAGTGCTAATAATAGCTGATTGATTGATTGATTGCTATCTAAACCCTTTAAGCTAAATGCTCATCTCTATGTTTTGCAATATCTACATCTCTAACCTTTGCAAAGCACCTGGTAATGTTATATTGGAAGGAACTGAAGACTCTAAACTTTAGAGTGGCTCAGGTTATCCTGATCTATCTCTATAGTTCTGCTGCTATAGGCTTAGACTGCTGGAGGACATAGGGACCCCTTTTTCATCATTCTGCTTCATTCTATCTCTATTCTCCCACTCTGCAGAATCTGTTAGTTCAATCTCTAACGTTCTGCTCTCTCTGCTTTTTCTCATAGTAGCTTCATCTGGTCTGTTCCTGTTTGGCTGTGACTCCATCCTGGAGAGAAATATCAGCTGTGCTGCTGCCATCAACACCTTTGTTTCTAGATGTTGGAGCTTGGCCTGTTTTCCAGTGTAGTCCTGTTTCTCTGACTGTGACTAACTGGATGTGCTCTCTTCATCCTCTGACATGGGAGCTGGCTCGGAGCTCGTCTGCCTGGCTGTGTGTTTCCTGGACGGGGCCGCCTGTGGAGCTGGTTGACAGTTGCCTTTTGTATCTATGCTTCTTTTTCTATGTCTGCTTCTGTCTCCTTGAACCCCAGTGGGCCTCAGCAGATGGCCGCTCACACTGAGCCTGGTTCTGCTGGAGGTTTTTCCTCTCCACTGTCGCTACAAGCATGCTTAGTGTGAGGGATTGCTGAAGAGTCAATGAGTCGATGCAATCAGCTGGTTTTCCTTAGATAGAAAACTTTGAATCAATCTGACTGGATGATCTGGTGAACTGGAAAGTGACCTGAGATGACATGATGGGAATTGGAGCTATAGAAATAAACTGAATTGAATTAAACTAATCAGTTAATTTCTGCTAATGAACAATAGTCAAACTTAGGGTTTAACAATCTTTGTTCCAGATTTTTTATGTTGATTTTTCTTCCCAGAATCTTTTACCTCCTATCAGAAATGAACCGTATGGATTGTGGCACAGAAAACTGATGAAGGGAATCTGATTTTTGCGTTTCTCTAGAATCGATGGAGCTTTTATTTCGCTGAACATGAAGCTCCAGTAAACCTTCAGTCAGAGGATGAAATGTGAACCCTTTGAATTATCCCGGTTCGAGTTACAGCAGAACAGAAAGTCCTGCTTATGTTGGTGAAGCGGCAGCAGAACAAAGCAGGATCTGTTGTTCTTCAGGCTCGCTCAGAAACACCCAAGCAGCAACAGAATATGAATATTTTCATACAAATAGCTTCTTGTTTGGGCTGCTTTTTATTTTTAGTCACAGAGCAACTTTGAAAAAAAGAAATGTTTAAACCACTTAGGGAAACAGTTCTCCAGGACTATCTCTGAAAAATGTATGAAAGATGTGAAGTATTTCTAAAGATTTCTGGAGAAATCAGGAAGGTTTTGACTCGCAGGATTCAGAGAAAACACAAATTACACAATAAGGATTTTAAAACCTGCATTTAATTAAAACCATTTATGTATGAGAGGATTAAAAAGATCAGCCAAAGCTGCAGATTAGAGGCTCTAATGTCATAAAGCAGGACAGATGGACCCAGTATTCAGGCGATTTTAATGACAAAATAATAAGACAAAACTGAAACTGAACATGGAGCTATGGATGAGTGGACATGCAGGGGGGCGGGGCACAACCCATCACTGGCACTCTGGTTTAGGAAGAAACACAGGTAAGTGACCACGATAATCTGACTGAAGATGATTATCCGTGTGAGTCCCTTACCAGAGCCGCCCAGAGTGTCTCCGGTGTACCAGCCCCAGCAAGCAGGCAGGAGGCCGATCCGGGTCAGAGAAACAGTTCAGAACAGGACCGTTCTGAGATCCAGGAGTCTGTAGCCCGACCAAGGGTTTCGTTCTGAACAGGAACAGACAGATCCAGGGTTCCAGGAATCCACAAAGTGTTAAGGAAGGTTCAGAGTTCCATGAGTCCAGCAGCGACCTCAGACAGACACACCCAGATAGAGACAAGAGGGCCCGGTGGTTGAGAGGAACAGAGTAAAGCCATGGTACCAGGATAACTGCAGAACTTTAAACTATACTCTTCCTAGGAGCCAGGATTATGGGAATTAAAACTGGCCTCCCCTGCATGCCGAGCCTAAACCAGTGGGCTCAGCGGAGAAGGACCGGGACACGATCAGGACGGAGGAGACAAATAATAACACCCTCTGGATACGCAGGCCCCCAAGAGTCAGGACAAGAACCAGGGACTTAACTAAACTCAAAAACAAACATGAACCACTAACACGAATACATAACATAAACAGTGCTGTATCTGGTGTTTGTCACAACGCGCTATTATCCAAGTCATCTTGAAAACATTCTTCTTCCAAATGTTGGCTACATATTAC